GTCATGGGAACAATAGGTCAAACAAGAAAAGAGAATTTCAATTTTGTCACGGATTGTGATATATTGAAGCAGACTCAAGGAAAATACAGAAAGATTATATTATATATTATTATTACATATTATATATTATTATAAGCACAGGTAACTTTAAAAATAAACATAAGTCTTACATCAAAGTTCTATCTATGCAATGTGATTTCGTTGCCAATCAGAAAAATTATTGGTACACGAAAGCCTCATTAATACATAGTATGCTCACAAGATGCCGTTGTATTTAATTAAAAACCTTAACCGTTTTATTTTTTGAGATAGTGGAACGCTAGGCTGAATAATAAATATATTCCATAAGCAAATGTATTTCTTTTGGATCACTAGCCGCTAAGACGGAAATAAAATATGTGTAGGAAAATCTATTATTCTTTCTATTGTATCGTAAATTTAACCATCAATTTAAGTCTGTTTGAATTCGTAAGTGATATTATATAATAATATATCAGTCTGACAGCCTGTGGTTGAAACTAACAGCTTTTAAGATAATATATATACATATATGTATATATTTATTTTCCGATTGAATCAAATAAATCTATCCTCAATTATTTATTGTATAGTGCTGCGGGGTTTCCAGTTTGTTTGTTTACAAAATTGATTTTAATTTCAAGTAGTAAATTACACGCCTTGCTAAAGCACTCAAAAAACTTAATCACTGGATTTTGTAGATGCTTCATGCAAGAATTCCAAGAAAACATATGTTTAATTCTTTTTTTAGTATGTTGTTTGCACACATAACCTATTCCAATTCCATGTACAAAAGTCTGTTTTGTTTACTATTAATATGTAAACTTATGCTAAAGTTATACTTTTACATAATTCACGGAAATTTTATTTATTTATTTTTGTTTTTGTAATTGCTTAGAAAAACAAATAGATAAAACGAAGCAGAATTGTGTATGCACACAGAATTTGACAAAACTCAATTTATTCCACAAATGCATTCAAATACATACATACTTATATATATATATGTACATATCACTTTACATACATGTATGTATATCTGTATGTAGTTTCAAATAGTTATTACTCGTTTAATCATTTAATTTCAATAATAATATTTTTGTTTTGTCTTAATAATATTATAATAGATAATAAAGAATATAA